CACACACACACACAAATCAACATTTTAGAAATGACAGAAAAATTGATGCGTTTAAGTTATTTGGCATATACTTTATACTGTGTCAAAGTCTTTTTTAAAGTTATTTAATTAAAACAATGGTTATTAAGTTAATCATGAGATAATATGTAAGTTAGGCCTCAGTTAAAATGAGTGATTTCAGATATAAATCATAATACTGTGTGTGAAAATATTTGCCATATTTGGCTGATAAGGAATTTATGTAAACAAAATGTTTAGTAGATAAATGAATGTCACATTTATTTAATAGATAAGATAACATATTTTTTCTCTTTCTTCTGACAGACCTCCACTGATGTTGGCACGGTTCAGAAGCCTCTCCTGGACTTTATCACATTTCTCCTCATCACCTTCATCCGTCCTTCCACCTGTCCTTTCATTTACTCAGAGCTGTCGCTTCTTAACCAGCGGACCAGCCTCAGTTCTGCCTCCATCCACCCGCTGCCTGTCTCATTCTGCTCACTGCACAGGCCCGATGGAGTTAAGGGAGGTTCTGCAGGTGCTGGAGGAGCTCGCTCCGCTGTCGCTGGCCGAGTCATGGGATAACGTCGGCTTGCTGGTTGAGCCGAGCAACCCTCGAGCGATTAAAACCATACTGCTCACCAACGACCTTACGAACGCTGTCATGGAGGAGGCAGAGGCTGTACGCTGTGACCTCATTGTTTCGTATCACCCGCCGTTGTTCAGGCCGATCAAGAGGCTGGTTCAGAAAGACTGGAAGCAGCGGTTGGCCATCAGGGCCGTGGAGGCTGGGATCGCAGTCTTCTCTCCTCACACTTCCTGGGACAGCGTTAAAGGAGGGGTGAACGACTGGCTGGTTGGGGGTCTCGGTAAGACAGTGTGTCACCTGTGTCAGCTACAGTACTGATATCTAAGGAGTGTTTCAGTCCCCCCCCCCCCCCCATCTCTCACGTTTGTCTTTGACTCTCAGGTAGCGGGCAGGTGTCTGTGCTGAGTCAGGCCCTCGGCTCCTACCACAGTCACAAACTGGAGTTCGTGGTCCTGAACACAGAGGAACTTAAAGCTGTCGAAGACGAGCTGAAGGCTTGCGATGATGGAGCAACTTTACATATTTCAGGCAGCAGGTAGTGTGAAAACAGTAAAACGTCTACTCGAAGTTAAATTAAAGAAACCTGGGGGATTTTGTAGATTTGCATGCTTTACATGAGATAAACTCAYTTCCATCTTGAAATATTTTTTTCATGCAACAGAAGGTGAAAGCTATGTGAACTGTGCCAGCTTTTACATTCATATCGCACAACTAGATCCTGTGTTTAACAATAAAACTGACTAAAAAGACACACTTGGATGTGTTGTAAAACATACGAAACAATACTCAAATTATATGTCAAAATATGTCCTCTTGGTGCGTTGCGCTGGGAAATAATAAACTTTTTTTTATCTCCCAACAATAGTCCAGAAAGCAGCGGCATTCATGTCAGCGTAACCTGCAGCGACTCAGCACTGACCCCCAGTGTCCAGACTCTCTCACGACACAGCRCTCCCAGCCGGTCGCTCAGCATCCTGAAGTTAGAGAAGGTACAAAAACGTCTCGGGCTGTTCAGAACTTTTACTTCACCTAAATCTTAAAATATGCTTTGAGATCAAAACTCTTGTGACACATCTGTCTGAGAAAACATGCTCATGTCCTGCTTCACACCCAGTAATACCATTCCTCCTGTCACCCACCCTMTGCAGCCACTTCTCCTGGGCCACGGCCAGGGCCGACTCAGTGTCTTGGACCATCCTGTAAATTTGTCGACCGCTGTGCAGAAAATGAAGTCTCACTTGGGTTTAAACCATCTCCGGTTGGCTCTGGGCGCAGGGAAGACTCTTGGTGAGGGAACACACACAAAACATTGTTTAACTGACAAATATATTTTGATCTTCTTGTTATAAATGTTTTGGCTTCATTGTAGGAAAATATCTGCATTTATGAGAACTTTATTTGAGCACACTTAAAAAAAGAAGTTGTTTATTGTGCATGTGGAGCAGATTAATGAATATCTGATTAATGATATAATGATCTAAATGAAGGCTAGGCTTTTATTTATTTATTTTTATTTTCAGGTCCAAACCCAAGACCGCTGAGTTTAAACGGTTTATATTTTTCAGTCAGTGTATCTTTTGGTCATTGGATTTGCATTTTGGAAACGGGTATTAAAAAACAAGAAACAAGTGGTTATTTGATTTTTGTTGTAAAATATAGAAATTAAAATTAAAATAC